CGTGAAGTGTCGAACGCCCGCTGGCAGGAGGTCACGGGGCAGACCCAGGTGCCACGGGTCGACTGACTGAGATGACTGGCTGATGCACCACCTGTGCCCCCTACTTTGCCAACCCGTTGTGCTTCAGCCACCCGGCGCTCTGCTCGTTGTTGTGAGCGTCGCTCCTCCGCCCTCCGTTGTTGTTGGAGGGCGACTACCTCCAACTGCCCAGTAGCGTCCTTCACGAGCGTCCTCCACAGAGGCCGATTTTGACACCGCTGGTACTAGTCATCGGCAAGTCCACTCAGCTCCACGTCCTCCTGTACCACATCATTCTATCTCTTCTCTAGCCCTTGTGCCGCGGCCGTTTAGCCCCCTCGATCTGGCCGAACAAAAGCTGTTTAGGCATGCGGTGACTGGGCATGCGGGCTACAGACAAGGTAGCTTCCACACAGCGTTACGCAACCGATGAAAAGATATTGCCGCTTAACTGATTCTGAGTGAGACCTTTGCTGTTAAACCGGAGTCGGTCATGAGCACACTGCCCAGGTATGGGAAACTCTCCACTCTCTCCACAACAGCCCCATCACCAATTGGGAGTTGTGGGGGTGGAGTGTCCGATGGTACAAAATACCCAGACAGGTGCTTAGTTTGGTGTGTGCGTGTAACTGTGTGTGTCCGTGTCTCCGTGTGTGTACGTGTGTGTACGTGTGCCTCCGTGTGTGTGTACGTGTGTCTCCGTGTGTGTGTACGTGTGTCTCCGTGTGTGTGTACGTGTGTGTGTGTGTACGTGTGTGTGTGTGGACATGTGTGTGTGGACGTGTGTGTGTGGACGTGCGTGTGTGTGTGTACGTGTGTATACGTGTGTGTATGTGTGTGTACGTGTGTGTACGTGTGTACGTGTGTGTATGTTTGTACGTGTGTGTATGTGTGTAGTCCGGCAAAACAACCCCCTACCTCTTCGCGGTGCCGGACGGGCAACTCTGTCGTGGACAGTACTGTGGGGGGAGGGCCAATTCCGATTGGCTCCTCCCCTCATGGCGTCTGTGTCCACCACAGTGGCTAAACGGGGGCTCTGGACGGGTGCGAGGGGCTGGTAACCCCTCCACCTTCAATTAATTACCACTAAACTACGACTAAAATATGTAACTAATAAGCTTGTGCCAGAGGCCCCGGGGGGACAGGCGTCTATGACGTCTCCTGGCCAAACCCCAATTGGCGGAGCCAGGAGATTGAATCTCTACCCTCGGGGCTCCTCCAGAAAAAAAGAAAAGCCACTACGGATGGCCACGTGGAATGTTCGAACGTTCACTGCGGAGGAGAGGCTGCCACTCCTCTGTCGGGAGCTGCACCGGTACCGCCTGGATCTCTGTGGCATTCAGGAGGTCTGGTCGACCGGTTCTGGCTCCTGCCACCATAAGGGGTGGACAGTCCTCTACTCGGGGCAGCAGACTGCCAAACAACAGGGTGTGGCTCTTCTTTTGAACAAAAGAATGAAGGGGGCGTGGGAGTGTGGCAGTGAGGTGTGGGAAGCTGTAAGCCCCAGGCTACTTTGGGCTCACCTTCCCATCAACCGGAGGCGAGGAGTGGTGGTCGTGGTTACTTATGCTCCCACCGAAGACGAACATCCGTGGAGGTATGCAGGCAAAGCCGATGAGTCAGATGCCTTCCATGACCTCCTGTCACAGGTGCTGGCTAAAGTGGCCCCTCGGGATAGAGTCATCTTGTTGGGTGACTTCAATGCCCGAGTTGGTCATGATGCTGGCACTTGGTCTGGAGTGATTGGAGGGCATGGGCCAGATCAGCTCAATAACAACAGTAGGAGGCAGCTAGATTTTTGTGCAGCCCATGGGCTTGTAATTACCAACACGCTGTTCCGGCATCGGCGCATCCACACAACACCATGGATGCATGCCGGGTCCAAGCAAGAACATCTGCTGGACTACATAGTGACGGACCAGCGGATGCGAGCCCATGTGCTTGACACCAGGACCTCCCGTGGAGCTGATCTGTCCTCTGACCATCGACTAGTCATCTGTAAGATGCGCCTGCCATTCTTCCACTCCGATGGAAGGTGTACACACAGGACCCCATTCCAACCTAAAGTGGCCTGGTCTCAGTGATCTGATGAAAGTTGCAAGCGAGAATTTCATCATCGCTTGCGGCTGGGGTTGGCATCGTCCCCCACTCCTCCTGATGTCGAGGGTAAATGGGAGAGGTTTAGGACTGTAACTCATGCAGCTGCAATGGCTGCTTTGGGTACGCAGCCCAGACCTCCCCAGAGACCCTGGCTGACAGAGGAGGTGTTCAGGATGGTTGAGAAAAAGCGACAGGCCCACTGTCATCGGCTACAGAATCCCATGTCAGAGAATGAGGAGGCTTACCGCAGCCCTCGCTCGGAGGTTCGGAGAGCCTTGAGGCGCTGCAAGGATGGGTGGTGGTCGCGGGTTGCTGAGGAGATGGAGTCTGCATCAGTGGCCCGTGATCACAAATCTCTATGTAACTCCATCAAAAAAGTAACCTGCAGCGCCACACCTATTACCATCATTAGGGGGAAAAACGGTGATCAAATCTCCTACCCCGAGGAACAGGTTTGCAGATTTGCTGAGCATTTCTGTGAGGTCCTGGGGGAGGGGAAATCTCTCAGCCAGGAAAACATCGTGGCACAAAGTGGGGATGACTCAAATATTGGAAAAAGCCACCCCCTGTGAGTGGCTGGCTGAGGTGCCATCTGTTGAGGAAGTACTGAAGGCGATCCGGAGTCTGAGACCAGGAAAGGCACCGGGTAAAGACGATCTCCCAAGCGAAATGCTGAGAGAGGGTGGCATTTGTGCACAGACTGTCCTATATGACATCATAACCACAATCTGGACCACTGGATGGGTTCTGCAGGATTGGAAGGATGCCCTGGTGGTCCCCCTCTTTAAGAAGGGGGACCGCACAGACTGTAACAACTACAGGGGCATCTCACTCCTCAGTGTGCCGGGAAAGGTCCTGGCAAGGATTATTCAACATCGCCTTGCCAGGCACGCTGAGGAGAGGCTTGCGGAGCCCCAATGCGGTTTCAGGAAAGGGCGGTCCTGCACAGATGCCATATTTTCTGTCCGTCTGCTACAGCAGAGGTGTAGGGAATTCCAGCAAGACCTACAGCTCTGCTTTATTGACCTGGTCAAGGCCTATGTGATACCATCAGTAAGCCTGGGCTCTGGGTTGTTCTTCGTGCTTTTGGAGTACCTGACCCTCTGCTCACGATCATTAAGGACCTTCATGATGGTGAGTGGGCCCGGGTAAAACTACGTGGCCGGGAGTCAGAGCCATTCCCTGTATACCTTGGGGTGCGACAGGGATGTCCTCTGGCTCCCACATTATTAACATATATTTTGACCAGGTAGTTCGTGAAGCCTTCAATAGCTGTACCGGGGGAATCTCCATATGGTACAGATATAATGGGAGGCTGATCGATGCCCGGGTGTGGTCAAGGGATGGCTCCCTATTGGTCAACCACGTTATGTATGCTGATGATTTGGTAATAGCCGCTTTCAGAGGAGGAGTTGGAGACGCTGCTGCTGAGACTGGAGCGTGCCACTAAGAGGTGGGGCTTGACCATCAGCCGCACCAAAACTAAGCACCTGCCTGGGTATTTTGTACCATCGGACGCTCCACCCCCACAATTCCCAATCGGTGATGGGGCAGTTGTGGAGAGTTTCCCATAGCTGGGCAGTGTGCTTATGACCGGCTCCAGTTTAACAGCAGAGGTCTCCGAATCAGTCAAGCGGCAATATCTTTTAATGGGTTGCATAACGCTGTGTGGAAGCTACCTGGTCTGTTGCTCCGCACTAAGCTTCAGGTCTTCTCGGCCACGGTCATTCCCTCCCTTCACAACGCTTGCGAAACGTGGACCCCCCTAATGGAACATCTTCGCCGGTGAGAAACATTTAGGCTGGCCTGCCTACGATCCATTCTGGGTTTAACCAGGATGGATTGTGTGAGGAGCTCACAAATCCTTGAAAGATCTGGGCATGGTCCCATCGGTGAGCTCCTCCGGCAGGCAAGGCTGCGTTGGCTGGGTCATGTAGCCCGCATGCCCAGCCACCGCATGCCGAAACAGCTTTTGTTCGGCCGGATTGAGGGGGCTAAACGGACGCGGCACTGGCTAGAGAAGAGGTGGAGTGATGTGGTACAGGAGGACGTGGATCTGAGTGGACTTGCCGATGACTGGTACCAGCGGTGTCAAGATCGGCGTCTGTGGAGGAGGCTCGTAAAGGACGCTACTGGGCAGTTGGAGGCAGTCGCCCTCCAACAACAACGGAGGGCGGAGGAGCGACACAACAACGAGCGGAGCGCCGGGTGGCTAAAGCACAGCAGGTTGGCACAGTAGGGGGCACAGGTGGTGCATCAGCCAGTTATCTTAGTCAGTCGACCCGTGGCACCTGGGTCTGCCCCGTGACCTCCTGCCAGCGGGCGTTCGACACTTCACGTGGCCTCAGGGTGCACATAGCCTGGCACAAGCGTCGTGGTGACGTCACCGCCACTTAGTGGCGAATGGCGGTTGTTGTTGTATGTATGTGTGGGTATATGTGTATGGGTGTATGTGTGTGTGTATGTGTGTGTATGTGTGTGTGTATGTGTGTGTGTGTATGTGTGTGTATGTGTGTGTGTATGTGTGTGTGTATGTGTGTGTATGTGTGTGTATGTGTGTATATGTGTGTATATGTGTGTGTATGTATGTGTGTGTGTATGTGTGTATGTATGTGTGTGTATGTATGTGTGTGTGTGTGTATGTGTATGTGTGTGTATGTGTGTGTGTGTATGTGTGTATGTGTGTGTGTATGTGTGTATGTGTGTGTGTGTGTATGTGTGTGTATGTGTAATGTGTGTATGTATGTGAGTATGTGTGTGTGTATGTGTGTATGTATGTGTGTATGTGTATGTGTGTATTGTATGTGTGTGTATGTGTGTATGTGTATGTGTGTATGTATGTGTGTGTGTATGTGTGTATGTGTGTGTGTGTGCGTACTCACACAGCACGGCCTGCAGCAGCAGCACGGAGCCCTCCAACTCCTCCAGAGGGCTCAGGCCGAGGGGCCGCGGGTCGGGGAGCGGCTCGCACAGCAGAGCCTGGAGCCTGCACACACGCGCCATTGCGTACACGCGGCATCACGTACACACGGCACCACCACGTACACTCGGAATCATGGACACGCGGCACCACGTACACACGTACACATGTACACACGACATCACGTACACACGACATCACGTACACGCGGCACCACCACGTACACGCGGCACCACCACGTACACGCGGCATCACGTACACGCGGCATCACGTACACACCGCACCACGTACACACCGCACCACGTACACGCGGCACCACGTACACGCGGCATCACGTACACACGTACACACGACATGACGTACACACGGAATCACGTACACACGGATACACGTACACACGTAATATACACGTAATACACATGTACACACATACACGCGGCATCACGTACACATGTACACAAGTACACACGGCACCACGTACACACGTACACACGTAATATACGCGTACACACGGCACCACGTACACATGTACACACATACACATAGAATCACGTACACACGGCACCACGTACACACAGCACCACGTACACACAGAATCACGTACACACGTACACACGGCACCACGTACACACAAAATCACGTACACACGGCACCACGTACACGCGGCATCACGTACACGCGTACACACGTACACACGACATGACGTACACACGGAATCACGTACACACGGATACACGTACACACGTAATATACACGTAATACACATGTACACACATACACGCGGCATCACGTACACATGTACACAAGTACACACGGCACCACGTACACACGTACACACGTAATACACGCGTACACACGGCACCACGTACACATGTACACACATACACATAGAATCACGTACACACGGCACCACGTACACACAGCACCACGTACACACAGAATCACGTACACACGTACACACGGCACCACGTACACACAAAATCACGTACACACGGCACCACGTACACACAAAATTACGTACACACGGCACCACGTACACACGTACACACGGCACCACGTACACACGTACACACGTACACACGGCACCACGTACACACGTACACACGGCACCACGTACACACAAAATCACGTACACACGGCACCACGTACACACGGCACCACGTACACACGTACACACGGCATCACGTACACACGTACACACGGCACCACGTACACATGGCACCACGTACACACGTACACACGGCACCACGTACACACGGCACCACGTACACATGGCACCACGTACACACATACACACGGCACCACGTACACACGGCACCACATACACACGGCATCACGTACACACGGCACCACGTACACACGTACACACGGCACCACGTACACACGGAATCACGTACACACGGTACCACATACACACGTACACACGTACACACGTACACACGTACACACGGCACCACGTACACACGGCACCACGTACACACGTACACACGGCACCACGTACACACGGCACCACGTGCACACGTACACACGTACACACGGCACCACGTACACAAGTACACACGGCACCACGTACACACGGCACCACGTACACAAGTACACACGGCACCACGTACACATGTACACACGGCACCACGTACACACAGAATCACGTACACATGTACACACGGCACCACGTACACACGGCACCACGTACACACGGCACCACGTACACACGGCATCGTCACAACGTGCGTCCAGAGCCCGTGAGCTGAGCAGCGCTTTGTCCGTACCTTTGCATCTCCCCCTCGGAAATCTGTGGGAGAGACAAAGACGGCCGTGAGCAGCACTCCCCCTCTCTCCTTCACCCCTCCCCTCCATCCTTCAACCCCCCCCCTCCTTCACCCCCCCCCTCCCTCCTTCACCCCCCCTCTCTCCCTCACCCCCCCCTCTCCCTCCACCCCCTCCCTCTCCCTCCACCCCCCCCCCCTCTCTCCCTCCTTCACCCCCCCCGCCCCCACCTGCAATCCCTGGCCACGCCCCCCTCCCGCCTGCTGCTGCTGCTGCTGCTGCAGCTCCCTCAGGAGTCGCCGGCAGCGCTGAGCGTCGCCCTCGGCCCGCGAGAGGCTCCGGGCCCACGCCACGTCGAGTCGCAGCGACGACTCCGACTCCTCCTCGTCCAGCGCGGAGCGCACGCGGGCAAACGCCTCGCGGGAGCGCGCTCGCGACGCGCTCATCAGCGCCTGCACGTGGGGGTGTGTGGGTGTGTGTGGGGGTGTGTAAGAGGTCACTCTGTAGGTCACTCACTCACTCACTCACCCACTCACTCACCAACTCACCCACCCACCCACTGACACACTCACCCACTGACACACTCACACACTCACCCACACACTCACCTACTCACTCACCCACTCACTCACTCACCCACCCACCCACCCACTGACACACTCACCCACTGACACACTCACACACTCACCCACACACTCACCTACTCACTCACCCACTAACTCACTCACACACGCACTCACAGTCAGTCACTTACTCAATCACCCACTCACACAACAACAACCGCCATTCGCCACTAAGTGACGGTGACGTCACCACGATGCTGGTGCCAGGCCATGTGCACCTTGAGGCCACGTGAAGTGTCGAATGCCCGCTGGCAGGAGGTCACGGGGCCGACCCAAGTGCCACGGGTCGACTAAGATGATTTAAATTTCGATTTAAAGCTTTCGTGACTGCAGGGATTCATCTTCTGGGTTCTTTCGGTAAAGTCACAGTACATAAAATCCGTGATCTGGTTCCGTCTGTAAAATATGTGGTTCCAGACATACAGTACCCGGGCGTCTACAAACTAAGTTGCCTATGTGGTAGCAGCTACATTGGAGAAACCAAACGACATATCTCGGACCGCATCCGTTAACATAAAGCAGACTTGAAACACAGTAGAACGAACACCTCAGCCATGGCAGATCACTATTATAATTCAGTGGGCCAACATGACATTGATTTCTCCAAGACGGAGGTTCTCTGCAAGCCATCCGGCTACCATGAGATATTCATTCATGAGGTCATCCACATATACAAGCACAGAAACAATTTCAACCGAGAAGATGGATTCTGACTTAGTAACCATTGGAAAGACATTATAAACCATTTCGGTTCTTGATTGATTGTATTTTACGGTCACCTTCAGACCGCAGTCCATTCGCTGGCACTGCCTATTAGTACCTATCACACGACGGTCAATGGTACAGTTTATAGCATTTGTATAATAATAATAAATAGTATAACAGTGTAATGTTTAACATAATTCATAAGGCAATATATAGTACCGTAATTGTATAGGGAATATACAGCAGTGTGGTATACAGTAGGGTTAATAGAATAATACATAGTGTAATACTACAAGTCTAATATTTTATAGTCTAAAGTATAGGGTAGTGTATAGTAACGCATTGTATAATTCAAGGGTGGGATTTGTCTATGGATACGATATTATACAATGTAGTTGAGATTGGAAGGTATAATATTGTTTTGTATAGTAGTCCAGTTTATGGCATAGTTATAATGCAACACAGGACAGAGCAGCGCATCGTGGCTGTTTCCTCCTCTTACCCCCCCCCCTCCTCCGTTCCGAACATAGATGGACTCGTCTGTCTAAACACAAGCTCGTCGTTCTCCGTGGTGTTAATCCCTCATACTAACATCATGCTAATCCCCTAGTTACATGCTAATTTACTGTTGATATGTAAACTGCTGCTAATCCCTCACACCAACATTATGCTAGTCCCCCAGTTACATGCTAATTTATATGTAAACTCCTCTCCCCCCTCCCCTCGTCCGTCTGAACATAGCTCGTCGCTCTCCGTGGTGCTAATCTCTCACACCAACATCATGCTAATCCCCCAGTTACATGTTAATTTATATGTTAACTCCTTTGTCAAGGCGCTCTGTTCCTCCCACACAGCTTAAAATACGCTGTCCATGCATGGCAGTGTTCACTCAAGTGCTGTCTTCCGGACAGTCCTGTTTCTTCACCTGAGGAAGGCTACTTGTGTTGTGGCTGAAACGTCGTGAGAATTTTATTCTGTTATTATTATTATTTTTATTATTTTATTCCCATTCTACGTGACTTTACCGAAAGAACCCAGAAGATGACTAAGATGATTGAGATGGCTGGCTAATGCACCACCTGTGCCCCCTACTGTGCCAACCTGCTGTGCTTTAGCCACCCGGCGCCCCGCTCGTTGTTGTGAGTGTCGCTCCTCCGCCCTCCGTTGTTGTTGGAGGGCGGCTGCCTCCAACTGCCCAGTAGCGTCCTTCACGAGCCTCCTCCACAGAGGCCGATCTTGACACCGCTGGTAACAGTCATCGGCTAGTCCACTCAGCTCCACATCCTCCTGTACCACATCACTCCATCTCTTCTCTAGCCCATGCTGCGCCCGTTGAGCCCCCTCAATCCGGCTGAACAAAAGCTGTTTAGGCATGCGGTGGCTGGGCATGCGGGCTACATGACCCAGCCAACGCAGCTTTAACTGCCAGAGGAGCTCACCGACGGGACCTTGCCCAGATCTTTCAAGGATTTGTGAGCTCCTCACACAAACCAGCCTGGTTAAACCCAGAATGGATCGTAGGCAGGCTAGCCTAAATGTTTCTAACCGGCGAAAATATTCCATTAGAGGGGGTCCACGTTTCGCAAGCGTAGAGAAGGGAGGGAATGACCGTGGCCGAGAAGACCTGAAGCTTAGTGCGGAGTGACAGACCAGGTAGCTTCCACACAGCGTTACGCAACCGATGAAAAGATATTGCCGCTCGACTGATTCGGAGTGAGACCTCTGCTGTTAAACTGGAGCCGGTCATAAGCACACTGCCCAGGTATGGGAAAATCTCCAATCTCTCCACAACTGCCCCATCACCGATTTGGAGTTGTGGGGGTGGAGTGTCCGATGGTACAAAATACCCAGGCAGGTGCTTAGTTTTGGTGGGGCTGATGGTAAGGCCCCATCTCTTAGTGGCACGCTCCAGTCTCAGCAGCAGCGTCTCCAACTCCTCCTCTGACTGAGCAGCTATTACCAAATCACCGGCATACATAACGTGGTTGAGCAATAGGGAGCCATCCCTTGACCGCACCCGGGCATCGATCAGCCTCCCATTATATCTGTACCAAATGAAGATTCCCCCGATACAGCTATTGAAGGCTTCACGAACTACGTTTGCAAAATAGATGTTAAACAATGTGGGAGCCAGAGGACATCCCTGTCGCACCCCAAGGTGTACAGGGAATGGCTCTGACTCCCAGCCACGTAGTTTTACCCGGGCCCGCTCACCATCATGAAGGTCCTTAATGATCGTGAGCAGAGGGTCAGGGACTCCAAAAGCACGAAGAACAACCCAGAGCTCAGGCCTACTGATGGTATCATAGGCCTTTTTCAAGTAGTGGTACCCCAAACTTTCACAGCACATGCGGGTGCATGTGCACCTGCATGTTGACCCTCTACACCTTTCATCATGCTAAGTCCGCCAATTAATTTTTTTCAAGTAGTGGTACCCCAAACTTTCTCAGCACATACGGGTGCATGTGCACCTGCATGTTCACCCTCTCTACACCTTTCATCATGCTAAGTCCGCCAATTAAATGCTAATTTTTATGCGAATTCCTTTGTAAAGGCACCCTAATCCCTCTCACACAGCTTAAAGGCCGTGGTCTGAGCTTGGCTGTGTTTCACTCCAGCGCAGTCTTCGAGACAGTCTGGTCCCTTCACCTGATGAAGGCCGCTTGTGTTGTGGCCGAAACGTCATGATTTTTGTTGTTTTATTTTTTACCTACGTGACTTTACCGAATAGAACCAAAGAGTAACGATGCCAACCCCAGCTGCAGGCGATGATGAAATTCTCGCTTGCAGCTTTCATCAGATAACTGAGACCAGGCCACTTTAGGTTGGAATGAGGTACTGGGTGTACACTCACCACCGGAGTGGAAGAATGGCAGGCGCATCTTACAGATGACTGGTCGATGGTTAGAGGGCAGATCAGCTCCACAGTAGGTCCTGGTGTCAAGGACATGGGCTCGCATCCGCTGGTCCGTTACTATGTAGTCCAGGAGATGTTCTTGCTTGGACCCGGCATGCATCCATGACGTGTGGATGCGCCAATGCTGGAACAGCGTGTTGGTAGTTACAAGCCCATGGGCTGCACAAAAATTCTAGCAGCCTCCTACTCCAGACCAGGTGCCAGCATCATGACCAACTCGGGCATTGAAGTCAGCCAACAAGATGACTCTATCCCGAGGGGCCACTTTAGCCAGCACCTGTGACAGGAGGTCATAGAAGGCATCTGACTCATCGGCTTTGCCTGCATCCCTCCACAGATGTTCATCTTCGGTGAGGGCATAAGTAACCACGACCAACATTCCTCGCCTCCGGTTGATGGGAAGGCGAGCCCAAAGTAGCCTGGGGCTTACAGCTTCCCACACCTCACCGCCATGCTCCCACGCCCCCTTCATTCTTTGTTCAAAAGAAGAGCCACACGCTGTTGTTTGGCAGTCTGCTGCCCCGAGTAGAGGACTGTCCACCCCTCATGGTGGCAGGAGCCAGAGCCGGTCCACCGGACCTCCTGAATGCCACATAGATCCATACTCACTCACTCACATACTCACACACTCATTCACTCACAGTCACTCACACTCACTCAAACACTCACTCACTCACACACTCACTCACTCACACACACACTAACTCCGTCACTCACACACTCACTCACACTCACTCACACACACTTACTCACAGTCACTAACTCACTCACAGTCACTCACAGTCACTCACAGTCACTCACACACTAACAGTCACTCACAGTCACTCACTCAGACACTCACAGTCACTCACAGTCACTCACTCTCACCTGGCCATCCCTCTCCACGGCCTCCAAGCGCCTGAGGCAGCCCTCCACCTCGCCCAGCTTCTTCACCACCTCATCGCTCCTCATCACGGACACCTGGGGGGAGACAGGGGGGGAGGGGAGACCCAAGTGAGGATCAAAACCAGACACCTCCACGATCACAACAGCCTCCACCACCACCACTATGACCACCACCATCACCACCACCACCATCAACACCATCACCACGATCATTACCATCACCACCAACCCTACCACCATCGCCATGAGCACCATCACCATCACCACCACCACCATCACCACCATCATCACCACCAACCCTACCACCATCACTACAAGCACCATCACCACCATCACCACCACCATCACAACCATCACCACCATAATCACCATCACCACCAACCCTACCACCATCAACACGAGCACCATCACCACCATCACCACCACCATCACCATCACCATGAGCACCATCACCACCATCACCACCATTATCACCAACCCTACCACCATCACCATGAGCACCATCACCACCATCACCATCACCACCATCACCATCACCACGAGCACCATCACCACCATCACCACTACCACCATCACCACCAACCCTACCACCATCAACACGAGCACCATCACCATCACCACCATCACCACCACCACCATGGCCCTTCACCTCCTGCTCTACCACTGCACCCATCTCCAGATCTTCCTCCTCAGCCGCCATCACCACCTCCTGCACCACCTCCGTGCGGACACCGCCACCACCACCGCCACCGCCGCCACCACCACCACCGCCGACATCCACCAGCGGGTGCCCGCGCAGCCTGGGGTTGACGAGGTGCGGCTGGACGTGCTCCCCGCAGAAGGACATCTCGCACTTGAGGCAGCTGCTCACGGCCGGCACGGCCGGCGGCCCCTCGCAGTAGTCGCACGGCGGCGGCGGCGGCGGCCTCAGCGTCCCGTCCGGCGCCAGCTGGGCCACCAGTCCGGCCAGCGCCACGTTGCAGTTGAGGGCCGGGCGGCTGGGGAAGGCGGCGCGGCACTGCGGGCAGGTAAAGGGGCCGCCGCCGCCGCCGCCGCCGCCGTCGCCGCAGCTTCGTGCGGTGGCCGACCAGGCGCCTTCCAGGCAGCCGCGGCAGAAGGAGTGCCCGCAGGCGAGCGTGGCGGGGTAGGTGAAGGTGCAGAGGCAGATGGGGCAGCAGAGGTCCTCCTCAGAGACGCCGGCGGGGGGGGCGGAGGAGCGGCTGGCTGACGCCATCGTGTGGTGGGTGGGTGGGTGAGTGGGTGAGTGGGTGAGTGAGTGGGTGAGTGGGTGAGTGAGTGGCCTCTCGGATTTCCTGTGGGTGGCAAAGAGGAGTGGTGGTGCTGTGGTTAGCGCTACGCTGCGCTACGAACCCAGCGACCCGATTCCCGCTCACAACCAACACCACCACAACCAGTGATGATTCTCTGAACCGATCCTGGGTCTCCTCTAGGTGGACTCAGCCTCAAATGAGTAGCTGGTGTAGCGGTGGTGTAGTGGTGGTGTAGTTCATAATAAAGGTTTTTGGGTTAGATCGCGTTATTTATAAATGTGTCGTAACCCTCCACCACCCGACACGGCCAATCAGCAAAAAAAGTGTCACGTTGACAAAAGACAAATAATTCACTACTTTAGCCCACCGGTGTGTTGAAGAGTGAATCCACAACATTTACAGTTTGAGTACGACGTTTCGCTAGTAAATACATCCAGCATCATCGGGCAATTCGCCAGAATGGTAAAGCCCTCGCTTGCTCCCGGTTTTATATAGAGCAGCAGGGTGACGTCATCATTTAACTCATATCAGGTGCAGTGATTAGAGGCGGAGGGGGGGGTATTGTAATTATATTATCGATTAGTAATCAGTCAATGGTTATGATTAGTAATGAGTTGTAGATTAGTAATTAGTTTTAATGTGTGTTAGTGATTATATGCTATGTTAGTAATCCGTTAATTAGTATGCGTTTCCCCTATAAGGAATTGTAATGTGCATTCATATTCTTAGCTTCCTCGGCAAAGCCACGCCGAAGGGAAACAAAAAAACAACAAACATAGATAATCTATTATTTTATTGCTTCCCCCCCAACGTGACTCCACCGAAAGAGCCAAGAACATGAATCACTGCAGTCACGAAAGCTTTAAATCAAAATGTAATGTGTATTATTTAATAATATGCTTCCAGGCCGCACTAAGCCTGTAGCTGTCAGAGCGATTAAAGTTATTATTCCTCTCAATTTCAATGGATTCTCTAATTAGTCTTTGCCAGTAATAATTAGTTTTACACAACACTGCAACACTGTCAAAATCAATTGAGTGTCCTTGTTGACAAGCATGTTCTGCCACTGCCGACAGTTGTGTTTGAGATAATTTAATATTTCTCTGATGTTCTTTTAGTCTTACGCTGATGTTACGTCCCGTCTGTCCAATATAGCATCTGCCACATAAACAATTAATCCGATATACACCTTCTGTTGATAATTTAGGTAATGCGTCTTTAGTGCAAGACACTAGTTTTTGAATTTTGTGTACTGTACCAAATCTTACTGTAATGTTTTGCTTTTGCAAAACACGGGCTAATTTGTCAGTTACTCCTGAGATATATGGAATTTTTATTGTTTTAACAATCTGATCGCTTTCAGCAGTATTGCTTTGCGATCGTGATTTGGCATTCAGTGCTGTTAATTTGAGCATTATTGTAGCCATTCTGTCGTAGTGTGTCTTTAACGTGTTTAATCTCTCTCACTAGACTCTCACCATCTGACACTGTTTTAGCCCGATGTATGAGCGTCTTGATAAGAGAGGATTTCTGAGCTGGATGATGATGTGATTCTGCATTCAGATAGGCATCAGTGTGCGTTTGCTTTCTGTAAACGCTGTGTTATTTTACCGTTTAGGCCATGTCCAAGGAAAATATCTAGGAATAGGAGTGTGTTATTCACCTTCATTTCCATGGTGAACTGGATGGCCGGGTTTTGTGCATTGAGATGATTTAGAAAATCATTAAGTGTATCTTTACCATGTGGCCAGACAACCAAAGTGTCATCCACATATCTAAACCAAAAGGATGGTTTTAATTTGCTCGAGGCAAGTGCTCTTATTTCAAAGTTTTCCATGTACAAATTTGCTATAGCAGGGGATAAAAGAGAGCCCATTGCTGCTCCTTCCTTTTGTTTAAAGAAATCCCCTCTCCATAAGAAGTGTTATTTAAACAATGGCCAGCAAGTTTCAGAATATATTTTGGTAAACCGGTATTCTTTACTAGTGTATCAAGTAATTTAAGCGATTTGTTCACTGGAACCTTAGTGAATAGAGAAATCACATCAAAACTTACCAGAATATCATCAGGAGTAAGTTTAATATCTTTAATCATATTCACAAGATGTTCTGAATTTTTTATGAATGAAGATGTCCTACCGATGTACGGCTGTATTTGTTTGGCTATATATTTTGCTAATTGATGTGGCAGAGCCAATTGTACTGACTATGGGTCGTAATGGGATGCCGATTTTATGAATCTTTGGTAGCCCATAGAGTCTAGGTGGTTTTGAGGCCCTTGGCTTAATTTGGTATTGCTCATTTTTAGGGATTAATGAATTTGCAATTATTGCAGTGGTCTTACGTTCTAAAGTATTAGTTGGATCTCGTTAAATTTGAATGTAGGTACTTTCCTCTAGTAAATTTCTAATTTTATTATCATAATCGGCTCGTGACATCACTACAGTAGTGCGGCCTTTATCAGCTGCTAGGATTTGGATATCCTTATTTACACGCAGCTCTCTTAAGGCTTTTGCCTCGTTAGAGCTAATATTTACTTTTGGAACTTTGCTATTCTCAATTATTTTGGCAACCTCATGTCTAGTCATCTCTGCCTCATTATGTGGAAGGAGTCTAACTGCTGATTCTACCTCAGCAATGATCTCATCCACTGGAATTGTGCGTGGGGTAACGGCAAAGTTAAGGCCTTTAGAAAGGACAGAGACCATGTCACCGGTTAATACAGTGTTAGTCAAGTTCAGTACGGTTTTGTTTTTAAATTTTTGGTTTTTAGTAGGGATGTTTATTATGTAGTCTAGAAAATGTATTAATTTGGTTAGTTTTTGTTAGTTTAAACACATTATCAGCCGATTATTGTTGTGTTATGGTATCGATTATATTCCAATAATGCATAGATACACTATTGCTTATATCTAAGTGTAACTGCTTTAGCGATTCTGAAATGTAAGATAATTCACTCCTATTGTGCTGTATTCTCTCTATTAATAATAATTCGCTAGCTTTGTGTAGTATTTGGTTAGCTTTAGAAGACTTTATGTGATGTGTTATTTTAACGCGATCTAACCCAAAAACCTTCATTATGAATGTTGGCCGCGAAAGCCTACGTGTTAAACTGGTGGTGTAGTGTTGGTCGTGTAGTGGTGGTGTAGTGATCGTGGTGTAGTGGTGGTGTAGTGATGGTGGTGTAGTGGTGGTGGTGTAGTGGTGGTGTAGTGATGGTGTGGTGGTGGTGGTGTAGTGAACATCACTAGCACTGGGGGAGAGACAAAGGCGGCCGGGCGTGGTTCTGGCCACCCACCCCCTCTGTGTGCCGTGCCGGTGGCCTTCATAGGCGCTGCTCACTAACAGCACTTGCCCCTACAGTCTGCTAGAGGCTACACGGGGGATCTTTGTCTGTGTAGGTGCTACTGACAGCACTTGCCCCTACAGCCTGCTAGAGGCTACACGGGGGATCTTTGTCTGTGTGTAGGTGCCACTGACAGCACTTGCCCCTACAGCCTGCTAGAGGCTACCTGGGGGATCTTTGTCTGTGTGTAGGTGCCACTAACAGCACTTGCCCCTACAGTCTGCTAGAGGCTACACGGGGGATCTTTGTGTGTAGGTGCTACTAACAGCACTTGCCCCTACAGCCTGCTAGAGGCTACACGGGGGATCTTTGTCTGTGTGTAGGTGCTACTGACAGCACTTGCCCCTACAGCCTGCTAGAGGCTACCTGGGGGATCTTTGTCTGTGTATAGGTGCTACTAGCAGCACTTGCCCCTACAGCCTGCTAGAGGCTACACGGGGGATCTTTGTCTGTGTGTAGGTGCTACTAGCAGCACTTGCCCCTACAGCCTGCTAGAGGCTACCTGGGGGATCTTTGTCTGTGTGTAGGTGCTACTGACAGCACTTGCCCCTACAACCTGCTAGAGGCTACACGGGGGATCTTTGTCTGTGTGTAGGTGCTACTAACAGCACTTGCCCCTACAGCCTGCTAGAGGCTACCTGGGGGATCTTTGTCTGTGTGTAGGTGCTACTGACAGCACTTGCCCCTACAGCCTGCTAGAGGCTACACGGGGGATCTTTGTCTGTGTGTAGGTGCTACTGACAGCACTTGCCCCTACAGTCTGCTAGAGGCTACCTGGGGGGTCTTTGTGTGTAGGTGCTACTGACAGCACTTGCCCCTACAGCCTGCTAGAGGCTACACGGGGGATCTTTGTGAGTGTTGTGTAGTACCGGCCCTATAGAGTCACAATGAGCGGTGTAACGAAACCACGGACACCGCCACCTCGTTACTGATATTGATAACCTCGTCGTTATTGATCTCGTTAAGTAATAATCACCAATAATCACCTCGTTATTGATGTTTACAACCTCGTCATGAGTAATTTTTACTTTATAACTTTGCAATCACTTCACAATCACTTTAAAATCACTAATAATCACTAACAACTAGTTTTCACTGATTATCACTAATAATCACTTTATAATAACTAATAATCAATAATAATCAATAATTCTCACCGCGTCGCTCTCCCCGAAGGGGACTTCCGACGCAGCCCAGCTCGGCGTACAGTGCGGAAGTCGGGGAAGGCGGGCGGAAACGGAGGTGACGTCACGTTCGTGAGCGGTGGTGAACTTAATAAGATGGCCGTTCGTCATTAGCGTTGGGGGGGATTTGAACTTAACAAGATGGCCGGTTTGATATTAATGGACAAGGGCGAGCTTAACAAGATGGCCGTTAAATTCTTGATTGTTTTATATTTTTATAATTTTATTGTTTCCCTTCTACGTGACTTTACCGAAAGAGCCAAGAATATGAATCCCTGCAGTCACGAAAGCTTTAAATCAAAATCGTTCGGTAAAGTCGCGTAGAAGGGAAATAATAAAATAATAAAAAATAAAAAAATAAAATTCTCACGGCGTTTCGATTGCAACACAAGCAAACGTCATCAGGTGTGAAAATCACAACAAGAAATTTTGAAAAAAAGTGGCGGTTTTTTCGTAACGTTAGCACCACGGACAGCAACTGGCGGTTGTTCAGACGGACGAGTCCATCGATGCTCACCTGGTGATGATTGCTTCGTGTGTTGCAATCGAAACGTCGTTGGAATTTTATTTTTTTATTATTTACCTTCTACGTGATGACTTTACCGAAAGAACCAAGAATATGAATCCCTGCAGTCACGAAAGCTTTAAATAAAAATTCATTACCTCAATGATTAAATATAAATAAAATCCAACGCGCGGTGGAAAAACAAACTTACGCTCGCACGCGCAGATTTCTTTGGGACCGGCCAAATCCCGTTTGATCGATACCACAAACGATCACCAGATATCGATTCTCGCCAGTACTGCATGCGGGTTATACTTTTTGCATTGTGCACAGTCCAGAAGCTACCCACATGCCGAATTTCAAGTTTGTTGCATGTCGGGAAGTATGCTAAACATTTCCAACAGACACACACATTCACAAATTTCCCGTTTATATATATAGACTAGCTGTACTACCCGGCTTCGCCCGGGACTTGGATCCACCACGCCCGGCCGCCTTTGTCTCCCCAGTGGCGATGTTGACACGCCACAGCAGTTACTCGTTTGAGGCTGAGTCGACCTAAACGTCGTGAGAATTTTATTGTTTTATTTTATTATTTTATTCTCATTCTACGTGACTTTACCGAAAGAACCAAAGAAGATGAATCCTTGCAGTCACGAAAGCTTTAAATCACCAAAATAAAGCTATAAAAACGATGTAACATTGATCATAGGAACTGTGATTCAAATGTAACACTTAACGTAGGGAATAATTTAACACGATGGCCGGGTTGATGGTAAGGGTTAACTGTACAAGGTGGCCGTTTGCTATTAACGGTGGGGGGGGGGGGTGAACTTAACAAGATGGTTACACAATGAGTGGTATGGATGACCTTAATAAGATGGCCGGCTTTGTACTGTGGGTGGTGGGGGATGAACTTAACAAGATGGCCGGGTTACACAATGAGTGGTATGGATGACCTTAATAAGATGGCCGGCTTTGTACTGTGGGTGTGGGGGATGAACTTAACAAGATGGCCGCGTTACACAGTGAGTGGTTGGGGTGACCTTAATATATCCGATTTTGTACTTTGGTTGGTGGGGATGAAACTTAACAAGATTGCCGGGTTACACAGTGAGTGGTTGGGGTGACCTTAATAAGATATCCGATTTTGTACTCTGGTTGGTGGGTAATGAACTTAACAAGATGGCCGGCATACACAGTGAGTGGTTGGGGTGACCTTAATAAAATGACCGGCTTGTACTGTGGGTAGGGGGGGGGAAGAACTTAACAAGATGGCCGGGTTACACAGTGAGTGGTTGGGGTGACCTTAATAAGATGGCCGGCTTTGTACTGTGGGTGATGGGGGATGAACCTAACAAAATGACCGTGTTACACAGTGATTCGGGTGACCTTAATAAGATGGCTGGATTTGTACTGTGGGTGGTGGGGGATGAACTTAACAAGATGGCCGGGTTACATAGTGAGTGGTTGGGGTGACCTAAATAAGATGGCCGGCTTAATAAACGGGTGATGGGGGATGAACTTAATAAGATGGCCGACTGACCATACTTCCGGTTCTGACGTCACTTTCGGCTCAGCGCTCCACGTCCCCAACGTGGCGCCGAGGGGCCGCCTCCGGATTCTCTCATTGGTCGGCGCCCTCAGCGCCGCCAACCAATCCCGACACGGGGGGAGTGGAAGTGATGGCGAGTGAGGCCGAGTCAGCGCTGTGATTGGCTGCTCACTAGGCCCCTCCTCTCACCCCTCCCCACTCCCTCCACTTACGCCCCGCCCGTTCACCTTCGTCCCGCCCCCTCCACTCCCAAGCCCCGCCCCTTCCACCATTAGCCCCGCCTCCTTGACGCTCGGCCCCGCCTCCTTCGCATTCCTCGTCGCGAGACCGAGAGCCGGCGCGAGACGCTCCACCCCAACCTACTGTACACACTGCACGCACTGTATATACTGTACACACTGTACACGCAGCCTGCACACACAGCATATACACACAGCATATACATACATAAAGAGTCTATACATACAGCATATAAACACACACAGCATATACATACATACACACAGTCTATACATACACACAGTCTATACATACAGTCTATACATACACACAGTCTATACATACACACAGTCTATACATACACACAGCATACACATACACACAGTCTATACATACACACATCATATACATACATACAGTCTATACATACACACAATCTATACATACACACAGCAAATACATACACAGCATATACACACAGTCTATACATACACACAGCATATACACACAGTCTATACATACACACAGTCTATACATACGCACAGTCTATACATACACACAGTCTATACATACACAGAGTCTATACATACACACAGTCTATACATACACAGAGTCTATACACACAGCATATACATACACACAGCATATACACACAGTCTATACATACACACAGTATCTACACACAGTCAACAACCACAACAACAACAACAGCAGCCACAACAACAACAACAGCTGCAGCCACAACAGCAACCACAACAACGTCGGCGCCTGTGCCAGGCTAGGTGCGCCTTGTGACGCGTGCTGCTGCTGCTGCTACAGCCCCAGCAGCAGAGGGCCATGGAGACCGGGAATCCCAGCAAGAAAGTGCGGACTGGAGCTGTCTCCATTTGGGTGAGTGGTGAGTGAGTGGTGAGGGTGGTAAGTGAGTGGTGAGTGAGTGGTGAGTTAGTGGTGAGGGTGGTGAGTGGGTGGTGAGTGGGTGGTGAGTGAGTGGTGAGGGTGGTAAGTGAGTGGTGAGTGAGTTAGTGGTGAGGGTGGTGAGTGGGTGGTGAGTGAGTGGTGAGTGAGTGGTGAGGGTGGTAAGTGAGTGGTGAGTGAGTTAGTGGTGAGGGTGGTGAGTGGGTGGTGAGTGAGTGGTGAGTGAGTGGTGAGGGTGGTAAGTGAGTGGTGAGGGTGGTAAGTGAGTGGTGAGTTAGTGGTGAGGGTGGTGAGTGGGTGGTGAGTGAGTTGTGAGTAGGTGGTGAGTGGGTGGTGAGGGTGGTGAGTGGGTGGTGAGTGAGTGGTGAGGGTGGGGAGTGAGTGGTGAGTGAGTAGTGAGGTTGGTGAGTGAGTGGTGAGGGTGGTGAGTGAGTGGTGAGTGAGTGGTGAGTGAGTTGTGAGTGGGTGGTGAGGGTGGTGAGTGGGTGGTGAGTGAGTGGTGAGGGTGGTGAGTGAGTGGTGAGTGAGTGAGTGGTGAGGGTGGTGAGTGAGTGGTGAGTGAGTGGTGAGTGAGTGGTGAGGGTGGTGAGTGTGTGGTGAGTGAGTGGTGAGGGTGGTGAGTGAGTGGTGAGTGAGTGGTGAGGGGAGTGAGTGAGTGGTGAGTGAGTGGTGAGTGGGTGGTGAGGGTGGTGAGTGAGTGGTGAGTGAGTGGTTAGGGTGGTGAGTGAGTGGTTAGGGTGGTGAGTGAGTGGTGAGTGAGTGGTGAGGGTGGTGAGTGAGTGGTGAGTGAGTGGTGAGTGAGTGGTGACTAGTGAGGGTGGTGAGTGAGTGGTGAGTGAGTGGTGAGGGTGGTGAGGGTGGTGAGTGAGTGGTGAGTGAGTGGTGAGTGAGTGAGTGGTAAGGGTGGTGAGTGAGTGGTGAGGGTGGTGAGTGAGTGGTGAGTGAGTGGTGAGGGTGGTGAGTGAGTGGTGAGTGAGTGGTGAGGGTGGTGAGTGGGTGGTAAGTGAGTGGTGAGTGAGTGGTGAGGGTGGTGAGTGAGGGTGGTGAGTGAGTGGTGAGTGAGTGGTTAGGGTGGTGAGTGAGTGGTGAGTGAGTGGTGAGGGTGGTGAGTGAGTGGTGAGTGAGTGGTGAGGGTGGTGAGGGTGGTGAGTTAGTGGTGAGTGTGACTGAGTGGTGAGTGAGTGAGTGGTGAGGGTGGTGAGTGAGTGGTGAGTGAGTGGTGAGTGAGTGGTGAGGGTGGTGAGTGGGTGGTGAGTGAGTGGTGAGTGGGTGGTGAGGGTGGTGAGTGAGTGGTGAGAGTGGTGAGTGGTGAGGGTGGTGAATGGGTGGTGAGGGTGGTGAGTGAGTGATGAGGGTGGTGAGTGGGTGGTGAGGGTGGTGAGTGAGTGGTGAGGGTGGTGAGTGAGTGGTGAGGGTGGTGAGTGGGTGGTGAGGGTGGTGAGTGAGTGGTGAGGGTGGTGAGTGAGTGGTGAGTGAGTGGTGAGGGTGGTGAGTGACTGGTGAGGGTGGTGAGTGGTGAGTGAGTGGTGAGTGAGTGGTGAGGGTGGTGAGTGACTGGTGAGGGTGGTGAGTGGGTGGTGAGTGAGTGGTAAGGGTGGTGAGTGAGTGGTGAGGGGTGAGGGTGGTGAGTGAGTGGTGAGTGAGTGGTGAGTGGGTTGTGAGGGTGGTGAGTGAGTGGTGAGTGGGTTGTGAGGGTGGTGAGTGAGTGGTGAGTGAGTGGTGAGGGTGGTGAGTGAGTGGTGAGTGAGTGAGTGGTGAGGGTGGTGAGTGAGTGGTGAGTGAGTGGTGAGGGTGGTGAGTGAGTGGTGAGTGGGTGGTGAGGGTGGTGAGTGAGTGGTGAGTGGGTGGTGAGGGTGGTTGGTGAGTGAGTGGTGGTGAGTGAGTGGTGAGGGTGGTGAGTGAGTGGTGAGGGTAGTGAGTGAGTGGTGAGTGAGTGGTGAGGGTGGTGAGTGAGTGGTGAGTGAGTGGTGAGGGTGGTGAGTGACTGGTGAGGGTGGTGAGTGAGTGGTGAGTGAGTGAGTGGTGAGGGTGGTGAGTGAGTGGTGAGTGAGTGGTGAGTGGGTTGTGAAGGTGGTGAGTGAGTGGTGAGGGTGGTGAGTGAGTGGTGAGGGTGGTAAGTGAGTGGTGAGGGTGGTGAGTGGGTGGTAGGGTGGTGAGTGAGTGGTGAGTGAGTGAGTGGTGAGTGAGTGGTGAGGGTGGTGAGTGAGTGGTGAGTGAGTGGTGAGGGAGTGGTGAGGGTGGTGAGCGTGGTGAGTGAGTGGTGAGTGACTGGTGAGGGTGGTGAGTGGGTGGTGAGTGAGTGGTGAGTGAGTGGTGAGGGTGGTGAGTGAGTGGTGAGTGAGTGGTGAGTGATTGGTGAGGGTGGTGAGTGAATGGTGAGTGAGTGAGTGGTGAGGGTGGTGAGTGAGTGGTGAGGGTGGTGAGTGAGTGGTGAGTGAGTGGTGAGGGTGGTGAGTGAGTGGTGATTGAGTGGTGAGGGTGGTGAGTGAGTGAGTGGTGAGGGTGGTGAGTGAGTGAGTGGTGAGGGTGGTGAGTGAGTGGTGAGTGTGGTGAGTGAGTGTTGATGGTGGTGAGTGAGTGGTGAGGGTGGTGAGTGAGTGGTGAGTGAGTGGTGAGGGTGGTGAGTGAGTGGTGAGTGAGTGGTGAGTGGGTTGTGAGGGTGGTGAGTGAGTGGTGAGTGAGTGGTGAGTGAGTGGTGAGGGTGGTGAGTGAGTGGTGAGGGTGGTGAGTGAGTGGTGAGTGAGTGATGAGGGTGGTGAGGGTGGTGAGTGAGTGGTGAGGGTGGTGAGTGACTGGTGAGGGTAGTGAGTGAGTGGTGAGTGAGTGGTGAGGGTGGTGAGTGAGTGGTGAGTGAGTGGTGAGTGTGGTGAGTGAGTGGTGAGGGTGGTGAGTGAGTGGTGAGGGTGGTGAGTGAGTGGTGAGTGGGTGGTGAGTGGGTCGTTAGTGGTGAGGGTGGTGAGTGAGTGGTGAGTGAGTGGTGAGGGTGGTGAGTGAGTGGTGAGTGGTGAAGGTGGTGAGTGAGTGGTGAGTGAGTGGTGAGTGGGTTGTGAGGGTGGTGAGTGAGTGGTGAGTGAGTGGTGAGTGTGGTGAGTGAGTGGTGAGGGTGGTGAGTGAGTGGTGAGTGGTGAGGGTGGTGAGTGAGTGGTGAGTGAGTGGTGAGTGACTGGTGAGGGTGGTGAGTGAGTGGTGAGGGTGGTGAGTGAGTGGTGAGTGAGTGGTGAGTGTGGTGAGTGAGTGGTGAGGGTGGTGAGTGAGTGGTGAGGGTGGTGAGTGAGTGGTGAGTGAGTGGTGAGTGGGTCGTTAGTGGTGAGGGTGGTGAGTGAGTGGTGAAGGTGGTGAGTGAGTGGTGAGTGGTGAGGGTGGTGAGTGAGTGGTGAGTGAGTGAGTGGTGAGTGGGTTGTGAGGGTGGTGAGTGAGTGGTGAGTGAGCGGTGAGGGTGGTGAGTGAGTGGTGAGGGTGGTGAGTGAGTGGTGAGTGAGTGGTGAGGGTGGTGAGTGAGTGGTGAGGGTGGTGAGTGGGTGGTGAGTGACTGGTGAGGGTGGTGAGTGAGTGGTGAGTGAGTGGTGAGGGTGGTGAGTTAGTGGTGAGTGGTGAGTGGTGAGGGTGGTGAGTGAGTGGTGAGTGAGTGGTGAGGGTGGTGAGTGAGTGGTTTAGTGAGTGGTGAGGGAGTGGTGAGGGTGGTGAGTGAGTGGTGAGTGAGTGGAGAGGGTGGTGAGTGAGTGGTGGGTGAGTGGTGAGGGTGGTGAATGGTGAGGGTGGTGAGTGAGTGGTGAGTGGGTTGTGAGGGTGGTGAGTGAGTGGTGAGTGAGTGGTGAGTGAGTAGTAAGTGAGTAGTGAGTGTGTGGTGAGTGGGTGGTGTGTGAGTGGTGAGTGAGTGGTGAGGGTGGTGATTGAGTGGTGAGTGAGTGGTGAGTGGCGAGTGAGTAGTGAGTGAGTAGTGAGTGTGTGGTGAGTGGGTGGTGAGGATGGTGAGGGTGGTGAGTGAGTGGTGAGTAAGTGGTGAGGGTGGTGAGTGAGTGGTGAGGGTGGTGAGTGAGTGGTGAGTGAGTGGTGAGGGTGGTGAGTGAGTGGTGAGTGAGTGATGAGTGGGTTGTGAGGGTGGTGAGTGAGTGGTGAGTGTGTGGTGAGGGTGGTGATTGAGTCGTGAGGGTGGTGAGTGAGTGGTGAGTGGGTGGTTAGTGAGTGGTGAGTGAGTTGTGAGGGTGGTGAGTGAGTGGTGAGCGAGTGGTAAGTGAGTGGTGAGGGTGGTGAATGAGTGTTGAGTGAGGGTGGTGAGTGAGTGGTGAGCGAGTGGTGAGTGAGTGGTGAGGGTGGTGAGTGACTGTTGAGGGTGGTGAGTGAGTGGTGAGTGAGTGGTGAGGGTGGTGAGTGGGTGGTGAGTGTTGAGGGTGGTGAGTGAGTGGTGAGTGAGTGGTGAGGGTGGTGAGTGAGTGGTGAGTGAGTGGTGAGGGTGGTGAGTGAGTGGTGAGTGGGTTGTGAGGGTGGTGAGTGAGTGGTGAGGGTGGTGAGTGAGTGGTGAGGGTGGTGAGTGAGTGGTGAGTGAGTGAGTGGTGAGTGAGTGAGTGGTGAGGGTGGTGAGTGGGTGGTGGGTGGGTGGTGAGTGGTGAGGGTGGTGAGTTAGTGGTGTGTGAGTGGTGAGTGAGTGGTGAGTGGTGAGGATGGTGAGGGTGGTGAGTGGTGAGTGAGTGGTGAGGGTGGTGAGTGGGTGGTGAGTGGGTGGGTGGTGAGTGGTGAGTGGGTGGTGAGTGGGTGGGTGGTGAGTGGTGAGTGGGTGGTGAGGGTGGTGAGTGGTGTAGTGGTGGTGTTGTGATGGTGGTGTAGTGAAGGTGTGGTGGTGTAGTGGTGGTGGTGTAGTGGTGGTGTAGTGTAGTGAACATCGCTAGCACTGGGGAGACAAAGGCGGCCGGGCGTGGTCCTGGCCACCCACCCCCTCGTGTACCGTTACCGGCCTTAATAGGCGCTCGCTAACAGCA